AAGAGTCCCCGATCACATAGACCTGCCTTTTCCTGGTGACGGTGCTATTCTCCAGTCTATCCCCTGTTCCCTCTGGCTGCAAGTTCTTTCCATTCCTATTCTCCCTTGTAATCCCCTTCAGCCCATCCTGTATCCTCTTGGGGCTCATATCATGACTCTTCCCCTTTTCCTATAGGACTAGCCGCTCTTCTCATGTTCCAGAGCACATGGCTGCTCTTAGAATAGCAAGAAAAATTCACATACAGGAAAACTAATAAAGAATCAAATGTAATTAGATTTCATCCTGCAATATAAATGAGGCCAGAACCATAAATAAAACAGGAAACAATTCTGGAGCCTACAATGTCCAATGATTCAGAATGGGAAGGAGCTTCAACTGAAAATGGAGCATGTTGGAATGAGCACAATGGGACAATGTCCCTTTAAAGTGAAGGGTTTTGGTCACCATTTAGGACGGAACCTGCCACCTGGAGTGGTGGGGAATAAGCTAGAGTTAGTCGAGCAACAAACTAATGGCGCTCTGACTGAGCAGGAGGAATATAGTGAGGCTGGCAGTGATAACTAGAACAGATACCATTGCGGATATTAGGGCTTGTGGAACAGGAGCTGCCACTGAATGACAGTAACACTGATTCTATAGGTTTCAGAGTTGCAGCCGTGTTAGTCTGCATCCGCAAAAAGAAAAGGAGGACTTGTGGCACCTTAGAGACTAACCAATTTATTTGAGCATAAACTTTTGTGAACTCCAGCTCACTTCATCAGATGCATGCAGTGGAAAATACAGTGGGGAGATTTATATACACATTATTTATATGCAAATTGGTGAGGATTTTTATCAAGCCTTCCCCAGGAAAGGGGATGTAGGACTTTGGGGGATATTTTGGGGGGAAGACATCTCCAAGTGGGCTCTTTCCCTGTTCTTTGTTTAACACGCTTGATGGCGGCAACATAGGGTTCAAGGACAAGGCAAAGTTTGTACCTTGAGGAAGTTTTTAACCTAAGCTGGTAAGAATAAGCTTAGGGGGTCTTTCATGCAGGTCCCCAGCTCTGTACCCTAGAGTTCAGAGTGGGGAAGGAAAGTTGACATGGTTATACAAATCTCCCCACTGTATTTTCCACTGAATGCATCCGATGAAGTGAGCTGTAGCTCACGAAAACTTATGCTCAAATAAATTTGTTAGTCTCTAAAGTGCCACAAGTACTCCTTTTCTTTTTACCAATTCTACAACCTCCTTGATAGCTTTGCTTCTGCCCTAAAAGTGTGTCAAGTGATTCACTGGGAGGGCAGGCTTAGACTAGGACTCAAGAGGTGAGTTCAGCTCCAGGCTCTTCCGCAGCCTTCCTGTGTGACCTTGGATATTACTTATTTATTGTATGATTGTAGCACCTAAGAACTCCAGTTGTGGACCAGGACCCCATCATGCTACGCACTGTACAAACACAAAACAAAAAGACAGGCCCTGCCACAATGGCCTTACAATCTAGGTCTAAGCCAAGAGACAAAAGGTGGATACAGACGTACCAACAGGAGAGTAAAAGGAAACAAAGAGACAGTGTTGGTCAGCATGAACGGCAGTGATCTTAGCACACCAGCTATCTACATGGGGCCTACAGTTCCCTGCTTCTCAGGGCTGTTGTGAGGATAACTTCACTAATGTTTCTAAGGCTCTCAAATTCTGTGATGATGGGGGCCATATCAGTAACGAAATGACTTTGCTTTTAAGGAACTCTAGGGTTCCAAAACTGTATCTTGAATTATTATGGAATAATTTATTCTGTTACAATAGTGGGAGAACACTAGAGGTCTTGGGTGAAATCCTGGCTCTGTTGAAGTCAATGGGAGTTTTGCCACTGATTTCAGCAGAGCCAGGATTTCATCCTTTATCTACAGAAGTCCTCAGCTGCAGGACCTCCCTCAGCAAGACAACCACAGCTAAAAGCTTTTAAAAGTAGAGCACACAGGCATGACATTTTTTGGATATGAGACAGTTTTGTCGGCCTTTATATTCCTGAATGAGAGGTAACGTGCCTTGTAACCTATTCAAAAATGTTCTGGACCTGCTTATTCACACAGAGTGGAACAATGCAAATGATGTCTAGTCTGCAAAACATTTCTCTTAAAAATGACTGATGAGGCCATGTAAACCCATCACACATATTCCCTTTTGCAAATGTAAATACAAATACCCGACTGATTTCCATATCTAGCCTAACGCAAGAACTCCATGGATCAGCTAGGTAAGCAAAGCACTACAATTGCATTGCTAAAGAATCAAGTATGTCTATAAATACAGCACGACATGGGGATAATTGTTGCAATTTATTTTATGTTCGCAACACAGTAAAATATGAAGAAAGGAAGGCACACCAACAAAAAATGGAGTGACTCTGTGATGGAATTGGACACGTACTTGTATGCTGAATGCCTAAACAAAATTTATTTAATATATTTTATTTAAAAAATACAAAGAAATAGCAAAACGAATTGAACTGAAGCACATCAAAAGCCAATTTGTTACTGTCAACCTAATTCTGCGTGGAACAGAATGAAACAAGGGGTCTTGCTGTTGTTGTTTCTGCTGTTTAACACCATTTTCTGTGTTTCAAAGACTTTATGGGTCAAGAGATCACACAAGGTTCATGGACTTAGGACACACCACTATAGATTTGTTTGGTGAGGGCAGGCAATATTTCTCTGGACAGATGCAGAATTTTCTCTGGCAGTGTAGTCTGGCTGGGTCAGATGGTACAAACAGTCTCTAGGGCACATGAAGACATTGGTTTCTTTTTGTGCTACTGTATCTGCGTCTGTCTATGGCTATGGTGCTGTTTAATGTCCATCACTGTAGTAGACCAGAATCTGTGCTGCATCTCCCAGGAGTCACACAGCATAGACATAGCTACTGTTTCATGCCTCCATAATTCTAACTGCTCCAGAGGTTGGTATGGTCCCTGTCATAATTTAGAGCAACCCCAGAGTTGCTCTAATTTATACCAGACTAACCATAACATATAAACTAATCTGGCCATTCCCTGCTCCTTCCCGTATGGTGACCACTCCCACTCCTTGTCTTGCCTGCAGTACACCCCTATACCAGGGGCTATAGAGGAACATGGCATAAAACTGTGCACCTTTGCCCTACATTGCCCCTGTCTTGGGGGAAAATTTCTAGGGGCCAGAGTGGGGCTGAATCTGGCCCAGTATCTAGCCCAGTCATTCCCTGACTGGGAGATAGGTAGTTATAGTAATTCCAAATTAGAAAGTAATAGATGGCAAAAATGAAACCAGGGTCTTAATTCTTGTGTACCTAAAACTCCCAGTGAAGTGAAAAGCTTTTGTGGAATGCTTCGTTAAATCCCAAGTGTGTCTGTCAACAGAAAAAACTGCATCCTGAATTAGATAACTGTGTGGTAATCTGTTCAACTGCACCACTTACATATATCTAAAAGATGATCTTATCTGTACGTAGTCTGAGCCTCTGGGCATTCCTCACCTAAGCAATATTCAATAAAACCTTTAATACACGTTGAGAGCAATCTTGTCGCAACATCTTCCAAACATGTATATCGTTCAGTATCTATGATGGGTAAAATGCCTTGCAATCTCCATCTTCAGCCTTGGGCATCCTATTCAGAAACTTCATGGACCTGCTTATTCACACAGAGACAATGCAAACAGTGGCTGAGTTTGTAACACTGGACAACTCTGAGTTTGTGGGGAGCAGAATTGTGTGGAGTATGTGCATTCACCACTGAGCTATGGAAAATGCACCTTTCCTTGCATTTGTAAAGGGGAATGTTGCTTAACAAGTCTGAAAGAATTCCCAAGGAGGAGTAACATCAAGGAACAAATCGGCAGTTGGACATACAAACCAAAGAGGCAGTATCAACTAGTGCAGTGGTTTTCAATCTCTGATCCCTGGGAGTCTGCAGACTATGTCTAAGATTTCCAAAGGGGTCCACACCTCCATTCGAAATCTTTTAGGGGTCCGCAAATGAAAAGAAGGTTGAAAACCACTGGTCTACTGCTTAGAGGAAGGGAAAGGGACAGTGAGCCAGGACTTCTGGGTACTATTCCCAACTCAGTGTGTGTGACGCTGAATAAATTACATTACCTCTCTGTATTTCTGTTGCCACATTTGTAAATAATAATAGCTCAAAAAGGTACTGTGAACTCAGACATTCTTTGTAAAGATGTCTAAGGCCCTTTGTAAAGAACAGGTGCTATGTGAATTCACATGATTATAAGCACTGGTGACTTTATTATAAATTAAAAAAGAGAGAAGCCCCCGCCCTACCTATTAGTTCAGCATAGAATCCTAGAATTGTAGGACTGGAAGAGACCTCGAGAGGTCAGCTAGTCCAGTCCCCTGCACTCATTGCAGAACTAAGTATTATCTAAACCAGTGATCCCCAAACTTTTTACCTCATGGCTCCAGAAGGGGGGGTATGCGGATATGGGTCAGGGGGCTAAGGCTGGGGCCACAGGTAGAGATGGGAGTGGACCCTTGGTCAGGGGCTGAGGCCTGCAGCCATGGCCGGGTGCAGAACCGGCAGCCAGGATGCCAGGCGCGGGGCCAGCAGCCGGGTCCAGAGTCAGGAGTGGAGCTGGGCAGCACTCCCTCCCCGCTCCCTGTGGGGGCTGGTCCAGGCCCCAGCCCAGCCCCTGAATGTTACTTCACACCCCTCAGATTGAAGACCTCTTTTCTCGACCATCCCTGACAGGTGTTTGTCTAATCAGCTCTTAAAAATCTCCAATGATGGCGATTCCACACCCTTGCTGCTATTTCAGCCCATTGCTTCTTGTCCTAGCCTCAGAGGTCAACAAGAACCATTTTTCTCCCTCCTCCTTGTAACAATGTTTTATGTACTTGAAAACTGTTATCATGTCCCCTCTCAGTCTTCTCTTCTCCAGACTAAACAAACCCAGTGTTTTCATTTTTCCCTTATAAGTCTAGACCTTTAATCATTTGTGTTGTTCTTCTCTGGGCTTTCTACAGTTTGTCCCCATCTTTCCTGAAATGTGGTATCAGGAACTGGACACAATACTCCAGATGAGGCTTAATCAGCACAGAGTGGAGCAGAAGAATTACTTCTTGTGGAACTGCGGCCAATGGGAGCTTCGGAGGAGGTACCCGCAGGCGAAGGCAGCACGCAGAGCCCTCTGCCCCCGCCTCCCCCAGGGGGCCGCAGGGATGTGGTGCCGGCCGCTTCCAGGAGCAAAGTGGGGTCAGGGCAGGCAGGGAGCCTGCCCTGGCCCCACTGTGTGCTACTGCCACCCTGGAGCTGCTCCAGGTAAGCGGCATTGGGTTGGAGCCGGCACCCTGAACCCCTCCTGGACCCCAACTCCCTGCCCTGAGCTCCCTGCCTGCACCCCAAACCCCTGCCACACCCCGCACCCCTCCTGCACCCCAATCCCCTGCCCTGAGCCTCCTCCCTGCACCCCTGCCCTGAATCCCTTCCCACACTCCACACCCCCTCCTGCTCCCCAACCCCCTTCTCTGAGCCCCCTTGTACACCCTGCACCCCTCCTCTGCTCCAACCCCTTGCCCTGAGCCCCTTTCTGCACACTGCACACCCTGCACTCCCTCCCGCACCCCAACACCCTGCCCCAGCCCTACATTCATGGCCCTGCATGCAATTTCCCCATCCAGATGTGGCCCTCGGGCCAAAATGTTTGCCCACCCCTCTTATAGGTGCTATGATAATACAAATAATAAATAATAATTTTTACTGGTATAACTTGAGAGCAAAATTTGATTTAGCCCTAGAATCTTAAAAGGAACATAACAGATTTTTTGCAATTGAAGCAAACTATGCTATAGAATGGAACTGTAATGTAACAAAAGAAAACTTTGTCCCTTAGCCCTGGTTTATCCCAATTGTTAAGAGCTCCTTATGAAATTGTTGCCACCACGGGGAGCTTATTGTAAAGAAGGACTTTGGAACAGCTACTTGCGTTTAGCATTTCCACATTGCAGCTAATGCCAAAATCTTGCAAAGTTAAACAACACAGGAAAGTTTGCAAAAAGAAAAGGAGTAATTGTGGCACCTTAGAGACTAACCAATTTATTTGAGCATGAGCTTTCGGACACCTTTGAATTGCAAAACAGGCGCTGTTCTGTAAATATAACTGATAGAATCACAGTGTCGGGTACTTTGGGATAAATGAAATCATCATTTCTACCTCCTGGGCTGCCTGTAGGAGACAGGAGCACCTGTCTGCATACTGAGGAGATACACATTCGATTATGGTGGGGGGAAGCAAAGTGAGAAAGACAATGCACTGAAATGCAGGTAACCAGCTGTTTAGGATCTGCTCCAGTCTGCTGCAAAATGCTATGTAGTTGTGGCTGCCTGGAGCCATTGTGTAGGTAGGCCATTAGGGGGCATTAGAGGAAAAGGTAAAAAGACTAGTATAGTACACAAATAAAGATCACTCAGTTGCTCCTTCCTCTGGTGTCCTGAGTCTGTGTACATTCAACAGTCTGGCCTGCTCCAGAGCTCCCACCAGGGAGTTTGTCTCTGGCATGAAGCTCCGGTTGTTAGAATTAATTCTAATTAAGGGCCTAAAAACAGCATAGAAGGTGGACCGCGAACAGAACTCCCCAAGTTTTCACTCTCTTGTTCCGAGTCAAAATAAAGCACCATGACTGGCCCCCAGCTGAATCAGGTATATTGACACCATGTTCAACTGTAATAAGTGTCGTTTCTTCCCTCAATCTCCCCGCACTCCCTATCCCCAAAAAGTCTCATTCTGGGTCATATCTAGACACTGATGACTATGACTCAGCATTTCTTCCCACAAAGCCCCACCGTGCTGTCCTGCTCAATCTGTGTGATCTCCATTCCTTGAAAGCCTCCCCATCAGGGATTAAAATAAAGGGAGGCAGGGGAGAATGCAGCCCTTCTGTTAAAAGCAGGACTCCCCTTTCTCCTTGGCTGGTGATGCTAAAAGTATAAAGCAAAAAGAAAAGGAGTACTTGTGGCACCTTAGAGACTAACCAATTTATTTGAGCAGAGCTTTCGTGAGCTACAGCTCACTTCATCGGATGCATACTGTGGAAACTGCAGAAGACATTATATACACAGAGACCATGAAACAATACCTCCTCCCACCCCACTGTCCTGCTGGTAATAGCTTATCTAAAGTGATCATCAAGTTGGGCCATTTCCAGCACAAATCCAGGTTTTCTCACTCCCCCACCCCCCTTTTTCAAAAAACACACACACACAAAAACTCACTCTCCTGCTGGTAATTATCCAAAGCGACCACTCTCCCTATAATGTGCATGATAATCAAGGTGGGCCATTTCCAGAACAAATCCAGGTTTTCTCACCCCCCCCCCCCTTTTTCAAAAAACACACACACACAAAAACTCACTCTCCTGCTGGTAATAGCTCATCCAAAGTGACCACTCTCCCTACAATGTGCATGATAATCAAGGTGGGCCATTTCCAGCACAAATCCAGGTTTTCTCACCCCCCCCCCCCCCCCACACACACACACACAAACTCACTCTCCTCCTTACTCTGAAAAGTATAAAGAACGCTTTCCCCACTCCCTGGCTTGGATGAGCTTCCCACAGCTCCTTGTCCTCTATAGCTGTTGTTATGAGAGCACCCCCTTTGCAGTCTCCTTTAACCACTGCTCCTCCCAGCTTAAAACGGACATCCAGGGCCACATTTCCAAACCAGATAGATGTTCAGTTGTGTTTACAACTACCGCAAAAAAGGGAAAAAGGGAAAAAAGGCTTTAAAATGTTCACTTTCCCCCGCTGCTCCTGTGCTGCAGGGCTTTTGTGGCTTGCTCTTTTCTCACCCTGACTCGGCTATTAAGCATAATAAAATTGACTTCTCTTCTGTTTCTCTGATTGCAGCTTGGAAAAAATGGTACTTGTTTTAGGAGTGAATAGAGTCTGCTGCACACTGGTGATAATTTCTTTCATTGTCCTGACTCCTGGTAGAATTAGAGAAATGTAGAGCTGGCAGGGACCTCAAATCCAGCCTCCTGCTTTGAGGCAGGACCAAGTAAACCTAGACCTTCCCTGACAGGTGTTTGTCTAGCCTGTTCTTAAAAACCCCCAATGGTGGGGATTCCACAACCTCCCTTGGAAGCCCATTCCAGTATTTAACTACCTTTCTAGTTACAAAGTTTTTTCCAACTATCTAACCTAAATCTCCCTTGCTGGAGATTAAGCAGATTACTTCTTGTCCTAACTTTAGTGAACATGGAGAACACTTGATTACCGTGCTGCTTGTAACAGCTTTCCTGCAGCTTGTGTGTGTGTTTTTTCTTCTCTTGGGAAGAAAGTGTCATTAATTATTAATTTATTCGTATCATTGTTTAATTAATTTGATTTAATTAATTTATTTATTAGTTTGCTTCATTTTGGCAATGGGGCATGAATGAATAAAAACTAGCTAACCTCCTCCACCCACCCCCAAGATAAATAAGAGCTGATAGGAACACATTGTCAATAGTTTTCTAACCAGCAAAGTACAAACTGGTTTAATCTAGTTTAATTACTATCCAATTGGTAAAGTCATAGGTGGTAAATCAACAAAAGGCTCATTCTTAATAAGGAAAAGCCATGGGAGTCTATATTATGAAATGGGGATGTTATAAAATGCAATTCAAGAGAGAAATATATACATAAAGGGGGGATTAGACTGGGCTGAAGACAGATACAAACTCAAGCTAAAAGGCTCTGCTCCAAAACTTCTGTCTTATGCTTTCATCGGGCCAGGGACTTGCTGTGATATTGCAAAAAACTTGATTTATGTTAAAGTAGCCTTTTTAAAATTAGTTTGGCACCACTGTGTGGCAGACCTGGGCACTGCTGCTGCATGAAAAATTCAACAATCTTGATCTAATGTTGTGGTTAAAATAATGTCAGCTTTGCTAGATGCCCTCTTGGTGAGCAAATAACGTTCAAAGATTTGAGTGTGAATCAATACTCTTCCCATTCTGGCTTGTCACAAATACATCTGGGATTTTTTGCCTTGTAAATGAAACAATCAGCTAATCAGCCCTGGTTTATATAATTACTCTTCCAACTAAGACTAATTATTACCTTTTATAATGTTGTTTCACTTAAGTAGCTAGGAAAAGTGTGGCCGGTAACCGGTGCTTGGATTATATAAACAACCAGTAGTGCGGCCATACAGAGCAATACTCATCGGGAATAAGCATATTGGTAGAAAAGAACCAACAACTTAGAGGATATTAAATAAACACCTGCGCTCCCCCCATGCTACTGCCTTGAATTCACATTTCACTTTCTGTTACAGGCAAGGATTTTGATTCTGATTGACTTTTTTGTAGTTATTAATAATTTAATCCAGCTGTTTGTACCTGAAACTGAATGTTTATGATTTAAGCACTGCAGAAGTCACACCAGAGCTGAATATGACCCATGAAATACAGATAACTGTGAAACTTTGCTGCAGGATGTCAGATGATTTCAGAAAAGTTCCTACCTTTAATCATACACTTTTCTTTAGTGTCTAATTTTTTTTTATGATCAAGGGCATAGTTATTTGTTCAATTTATTTTGGCTTTAGCAGCAACATTAGTGAGATTTAAAAGAAACCAGTAAATATGTGTAACTCTTATTTATAACCCTGATTAGTGTCCTGTGGGAACAGTCCAAATAATAATAGGAATCACAGTTGTATTTGTCTTTGTGTTTTATACAGCACCCAGTTCATTGTCAACATTAAACAAATAACATTTAATGATAATAACAACTAGGGACTATACAATATCATAGGTTATCTTTAACCTAATATTGTCTCAGCAATAACTCTATGTACATGCTATTCATCTGCCTAACTTCTCTCATTTTTGTAGCAAAGGGCTTCCAGTTCCAGCAACTATTTATCAGGGTTGACCACCTCACTTCACAATACTGTCAATCTGAACTATTACAACAATAGATAATGAATAAAACAAAATCACACAAACCAGTATTAACTGGAGAGGTGGAACTTTTGGTAAGAGGTTTCAATTATATAGTGCTTGTCCACCTGTAGAGTCCCATGGCACATCACAAAGATGGGTAAATACCTCATTTGGGTGCTTTAGGTCCACATTTTCAAAAGCAGACTGCAGTTTTGGTGGCCTGCATTTCTGAGTGCCTGGGGCCAGATTGGCCAAGGTGCTGAGCACCCTCAGCTGAGTTTGAAATTCAGACAGGCTTTTCTGAGACAGTCTCCCTGTCCACAGTCCTGAATCTTCCCACAGTAGTCTATGCTTTCATGCTAGTCCACATTCTGCTTGTGCTTGGATTCAGCTTTAACGTTAATATTGTCCTGTTTTTGTTTTTCCATTCAGCCGCAAATCTATCAGACCCTGCAGTAGTACAAACATCCATGCTATCAGATTCCATTGCAGAACTCGGCATGAAAGACGTTTTCTTAGGTGAGGTACTACTGCTGTGCCTTCATCCATCCACTCTCATCGCACAGCCAAAAACTCTTCTTTCTGATGGGCTCAAATCTGAATAAAGACTATCATTTCGTCTAACTACTATATGGCTCTCATTACTCTCCCCAAATCTCACCTGACTGGAAAAACCATTATAATTTTTGTCCTAAACAATTGCCATCAGTGGACCTTCAGCATCTGTAAGACATTTCTCTGTAAAGAGGGCTTTATTTAATTTCCTCTCCTAACATAAACATTTCCATAAATGCAAAGAGAACATAAGAATGGCAATGTGGGGTCAGACCAAGGGTCCATCGAGCCCAGTATCCTGTCTTCTGACAGTAGCCAATGCCAGGTGCCCCAGAGAGAATGAACAGAACAGGTAATTATCAAGTGATCCATCCCCTATTGCCCATTCCCAGCTTCTGGCAAACAGAGGCTAGGGACACTATCCCTGCCCATACTGGGTAATATCCATTGATGGACCTATCCCCCATGAATTTATCTAGTTCTTTTTTGAACTCTGTTATAGTCTTGGCCTTCACAACATCCTCTGGCAAGGAGTTCCACAGGTTGACTGTGCGTTGTGTGAAAAAATACTTCCTTTTGTTTGTTTTAAACCTGCTGCCTATTAATTTCATTTGGTCACCCCCTAGTTTTTATGTTAAGTGAAGGAGTAAATAACACTTCCTTTTTTACTTTCTCCATACCAGTCATGGTTTTATAGACCTCTGTCATATCCCCCCTTAGTCATCTCTTTTCCAAGCTGAAAGTCCCAGTCTTATTAATCTCTCCTCATATGGCAGCCATTCCATACCCTAATCATTTTTGTTGCCCTTTTCTGAACCTTTTCCAATTCCAATATATCTTTTTTGAGACGTGACAAGAACTGAACAAAGTATTCAAGGTGTGGGCGTACCATGGATTTATATAGAGGCAATATGATATTTTCTGTCCTATTATCTGTCCCTTTCTTAATGATGAGGGGGTTTTGCCACTAGGGCATGGGTTTGATTTTTCAAAGGCTTCTTCTTTCTCTCAAGTCCCAAACTGCTTTAAATTCAAAAGTGCTAAGGAGAAGGTTTAACTTTAATAATAAATAGATGTTTTTGTACCTCCTCCACTGTGAATTTAAAATTTTAATAGATATTAAATACAACAGAGTTTCTCTTTGAGCTTTTTGTTTGCAACATACATTTTCCAGCTCTGTTTAAATGGTAATGATGTTAATGCCCTACTACTCTGAGCAGCTTCAGTCTTCATCAACACTTGAGGGATCCTTGAATTCAAACTGAGAAAGATGAGGCTGCAAAGACCCCAGGCCTCTCATAAAAGAATATTGTGAGTCAGGGCAGTTTGGCTTCCAAGGCCATTTCTACAGTGCTTTGATTGCTGCACCATCTTGCAAACATTCCTCCAATAGATGTACAGGAAAACTTGATGCCAGCTAAGAGTGCCAGTCCCATGGGCATTAGCTGTTTCATCTGAGTGGTCAGATACTAACAAAGCATTGTAGTAAGGTTGGACTTCTCTTCCAGATTAATAGATGCAGTCATTCTGAGAGAAGAGCACGTCCAGACAGACCTTGAAGATGGAGAAGAAAAGTTTTGTGATCAGGATGAGATTTCTGAAGATAAGGTAGAGAACAGGGGTCCCTAAAGGTAGAAAATAAATATTTTTGGTAGGTAAATGGGGAAGATCAATTCCCAAAATTTTCTTTGTAACTTTAAAGCAGGTGTAATTCCCTGAAGCATACTTAAAATGTGTTGCTAGAAAACTGCACAGCAATGGAAACTTTTAACTTGGCACATCTGTTCCCCATGTGTCTTAAAGCCTGATTTGCTGGCTTGAATGGCATAATTATGTTTTTACTAACTTTTATGGCTAGGGTGACAAATGGTATGGAAGAGCTATCTGAACTTCAGTGTGCCTCATTTGGCATGAACAAAATTATCAGCTGCAATACAAAGGGACAGTCTCTCAATCCGGTGAGAAAGACAAAGGCAGAATTCCTGGTTAAGTTTGCAGATTTAGCCGTTCCAAAAGCAAAGCATATTCAGCCCAGGTGCAACTCCTTTGCACCCACTTAACACTGGGTGTTTTGTCACTTTAACATGAGGACCTAATTTATAAGCATCACTTTTCTGCCTGGCTTCCCTTTCCCACTCATAACACATCCCAGACTGTTATAGGATGACTCATGTCAAAGGTTTTTAGCTCCCCAAATTCCTTTTCTCTTTATTACTGTCATAAATATAAAGGGAAGGGTAAACCCCTTTGAAATCCCTCCTGGCCAGGGGAAAGCTCCTCTCACCTGTAAAGGGTTAAGAAGCTAAAGGTAACCTCGCTGGCACCTGACCAAAATGACCAATGAGGAGACAAGATACTTTCAAAAGCTGGGAGGAGGGAGAGGAACAAAGGGTCTGTCTGTGTGCTGCTCTTGCCAGAGACAGAACAGGAATGGAGTCTTAGAACTTTTAGTAAGTAATCTAGCTAGGTATGTGTTAGATTATGATTTCTTTAAATGGCTGAGAAAAGAATTGTGCTGAATAGAATAACTATTTCTGTCTGTATATCTTTTTTGTAACTTAAGGTTTTGCCTAGAGGGGTTCTCTATGTTTTGAATCTAATTACCCTGTAAGATATCTACCATCCTGATTTTACAGGGGGGATTTCTTTATTTCTATTTACTTCTATTTTTTATTAAAAGTCTTCTTGTAAAAACTGAATGCTTTTTCATTGTTCTCAGATCCAAGGGTTTGGGTCTGTGGTCACCTATGCAAATTGGTGAGGCTTTTTATCCAACATTCCCAGGAAAGGGGGGGTGCAAGTGTTGGGAGGATTGTTCATTGTTCTTAAGATCCAAGGGTCTGGGTCTGTAGTCACCTAGGCAAATTGGTGAGGCTTTTTACTAAACCTTGTCCAGGAAGTGGGGTGCAAGGTTTTGGGAAGTATTTTGGGGGGAAAGACGCGTCCAAACAGCTCTTCCCCAGTAACCAGTATTAGTTTGGTGGTGGTAGCGGCCATTCCAAGGATAACGGGTGTAATATTTTGTACCTTGGGGAAGTTTTGACCTAAGCTGGTAAAGATAAGCTTAGGAGGTTTTTCATGCAGGTCCCCACATCTGTACCCTAGAGTTCAGAGTGGGGGAGGAACCTTGACATGGTGGCAGCGGTGGGATTAACCTGAAATCATTTGAGATCCAGTTGAGATTTTTTGAACTAGAAATACAGATTTTAAAAAGGAAATTTTTTTTTCTTTGGAAAGAAAGTCCAGAAAGCAGCTTTGAAACTGAAAGCAGCTTGGTTTCTCTCTGCTTTGTGGCCAAGCAGAGACAAAAGGGGATTATCTTGTGAATTGCAGGTTTTCTTTGCCTAGAGGCAGGGTACTTAACTCCTGCAGGGAAATTCACAGTCTTCCAACCCATTGTTTTTTTTTTCTTTTCTTCCTAAAAGTAAATAGGGGGTGTGTGTTCTACCCATTTGCTTTTTCTTTGGGCTGGGTAAGCAGGTTTCCAAGCAGTTGGAGGTTTTTTGCTTTAATTTGGGCCCAGAGCAGAGACAAGGGAATTGTCTTTTTCTGTAGGCTGACAATCACTATCAGAGAATAGGTATTCTATTGCAGCACAGCAAAATTTTACAGCCAAGTTTTGTTTGTTTATTTCTAAACCTCGGGTGTAAAGTTAGTTAAAAACAGAGAGGTTAGAATGACCAAATCCTCAGCTCGACTACAGCTGGAATTAGCCAAATTTCAGGCTGAGGAAAGACAAAGGGAACATGAAAGACAGATAGAACTCATGCGGCTGAAGAAGGAACAAGAAAGGGAGGCAGCGAGAGAAGCAGAACAACACCAAGCGGCTGCTCACAGGAGAGCTATGGAAGCGAGGGACAAAGAACTGGAGGAGAAGGAAAAAGAGAGGAAGTATGTGGAGGAGATGGAGAAGATAAAGGCTCAGCAGAATATCCCAACAAACCGTAGTAATCCTTCTCCAGGTACCACTTCCCATCCCAGAAAGTTCCCCACCTACAAGGCAGGTGATGATACTGAGGCCTTCCTAGAAAACTTCGAAAGGGCCTGCCTTGGGTACAACATCTCTGCTGACCAATACATGGTAGAGCTGAGGCCGCAGCTCAGTGGACCCTTGGCTGAGGTGGCAGCTGAAATGCCTAAAGAACACATGAACAAGTATGAACTGTTTAAATCCAAGGCGAGAGTCAGAATGGGGATAACACCCGAGCAGTCTCGTCGGAGGTTCAGAGCCCTAAGGTGGAAACCAGACATGTCATTTACCCGACATGCCTACCACATTGTGAAACATTGGGATGCCTGGATATCAGGAGCAAGTGTTGAATCTCCAGTAAATTTGCCCTTCCTAATGCAAATGGAACAATTCTTAGAGGGTGTTCCTGAGGAAATAGAAAGATACATCCTAGATGGGAAACCCAAAACTGTAATTGAGGCAGGAGAGATTGGAGCCAGATGGGTGGAGGTGGCAGAGAAGAAGAAAACTGGTCGCAGTTGGAGCGGAGACCAGAAGGGACCACCCCAGACCACACCTTATTACCGGGGGCCGCCCAAAGCCCCACCTACCTCCCAAAGAACCCTCCAGACCCCTTATCGTCCCACCACCCCGTTCTCCAGCAACCCTCCTCGCCCCAGTGACCCGTCAGCTGGACGATGTTTAAGTGTAACGAGCTGGGGCATGTAAAGGCCAACTGCCCCAAGAACCCCAACAGATTACAGTTCATTGCACCGGAATCACACCAGAGGTCCACAGGCCCAGATACCCCCGATACCCTTGGAGCGGAGGGAAACTGTGAGTGTGGGCGGGAAGAAGGTCACCGCGTGGAGGGACACCGGAGCACAAGTGTCAGCTATCCATGCTTCCTTAGTGGACCCCAATTTAATCAACCCAGAGATCCAAGTGACGATTCAACCCTTCAAGTCCAACTCTTTCAATTTGCCTACAGCCAAGTTGCCTGTCCAGTACAAGGGCTGGTCAGGAATGTGGACTTTTGCAGTCTATGATGATTATCCCATCCCCATGCTGTTGGGGGAAGACTTGGCCAATCATGTGAAGCAGGCCAAGAGGGTGGGAATGGTCACCCGCAGCCAGGCTAAACAAGCCGTGAGGCCTAGCTCTGTTCCAGAAACTTCTATCAGGACCCAGTCAGAGGTGATGG